GGAGGGAGGGTTCCTGACCCCTTACTTGGAGGGAGGGTTCCTGACCCCCTTGTATTTGCAATCAAGTTAAATGAGGTCATTAAGGTAGGCCCTACCCCAGGACTAGGGCCCTTACAAGAAGAATTCGGTCACACAGACACGCACTGGGAGGCTATGGCCACGTGACGACAGAGGCAGAGATGGAGGGACCTGTCTGCAAGCCACAGACTCCCGGCACCGCCAGACAGAGAGCAACTCTGCCCCAGAGCCTTCCACGAGTGCAAGTGACACCTTGACTTTGGACTCGTGGTGTGAGACCATTACAGTGGCTCTAAGCCACCCAGTTGTGCTTTCAGGCAGCAGCCCCAGGAAACCGACAGACGCAGCCACCAATTCACGATCTGGAAACACCCCAAATTTCCACAATGGGAGGGAGAATGTAGGCTTCCTCACGCACTCACGGACCCCACATGGTGAGCCTGGGGACACGACACGGGGATCCGACTGATTCAGGCTCTCGGCCCCTCACTGTGCCCACAAACGCACCCCGGAAGGGGGCTGCTGGCATCCTGACCAGGAGCACCAACACCAGCAAGAAGCCCACCAGGCACCCCATGCCAAGAGGGAGTCCTCCCTCTGAAAGACAGGTGCGGCCTTCCCGAGGCTTCCCGAGCCACGGGAAGCCGGCTGGGGTCCGAGGGTCCCGGGCCAGCAGCGGGCAGGCCCACGCCCGCCTCTGCACCCTCTCGGGGCAGCCTGCCCAGGGCAGCCCTTACCTGTGCTGTGAGCTGGATGGGCTGGGACAGGGTGAGCTGTGGGGTCCCGGGGGGCTGGCTGGCGGGCTGTGGTGGTGGCAGGTCGCCTCCCCCGGAAGAGGCTGGGGGCTGCGAGGTCGAGGAGGAGGAGGAGGAGGAGGAAGAGGAGGAGGAGGAGGAGGAGGCGGCGGCGGCGGCGGCGGCCAGGAGCTGGGCCTGAGCTTGCTGCAAGAGGAGCTGCTGCTGAGCTGGCATCAGCGCCGTGAGCTGCGGGCGGGGTGGGGGGCGGGGGGCAGCAGGGCCAGAGGGAGGAGGGAGGCGGGGAGCAGAGAAGGCAGAGAGGGTTAGTGCCCGGGCCAAGCGGTTAAGGGGCAAGTCTTCCAGGAGGCCCAGAGGAGGGCAAGCAGTGGGCGTCAGAGCGCGCCCTGGGCCGAGCGGACACCCCCAGCCACCAGTCCCGTAGCGGGGAGGCGGCTGGCCTGCGCACCCCTCCATGTGTCGTCCTTCCCCGGACCTTCCCGGTACTTACCCCGGCCAGCTGGCTGCCCGTCAACATGAGTTGGGTCTGGGGCAGATGCGGCTGAGCCGGCTGGGGGGCCGGGGGTGCTGCTGGGGTTGAGTCACCACTGGGGTCTTCAGCCTTGATCTGAGGGGGAGAGAGGCAGGGTCCGGGACCCCAGAATGTTAAGTGGAGGCCAGAGAGAATGCCCACCTGTGAACCAAAGAGAGGGCACGTGTACGCAAGGTAGCCTTGGGCCGGGGCAGCAGGGGCTGGCGGGGCCCCCCTCCGGACCCCTCCCTGTCAGAAGGCCAGCACACCCCGCCGCCACTGCCTGGGGCGAGGGTCACCTTGAGAGAGCCAGTCTCTGCTTTGGGAGTCAGCTTCCTCATCTGTAAAGTGGGAAATGCTACTGGTGGAGGCCCTGGATCATTAAATAATGGGGTCCTGGGCTCCACCCCACCCCCCTCTTCTTAGTAGTCAATGGGCTTTTGGGGAGAGGGTCTTGGGATATTAAAAAAATTATTCGCCTTGAGACACAGGTCATGATCTAAAGTGAGATGGATGCGAGCAGACAGAAAATTGGGTGAGACGGATAGGGGGGCTGGGTAGGCTGAAGAGGGGGTGCCTGTTCCCCCGAAGGAGCCGGCTCTGCCCCGTCCCTGCGAGGATCCCATCAGTCAATCATTCGAAACCTAAAACTCAGTTGCTGTCAGGATAAGCAAAGTGCGTGTGCAGGAGCGAGGTGGCCTGGATGTTGCCAGTTCCAGCTCCATGCAGCGCACCCCCTTACCCCAGGATGGGGGTGCATCTCACATGGCAACACAGGACAGACCAGCAGGGAGGAGGGGCGGGAGGGGCCGGTCTTTCTTCCCTCTTGGAAAACAAGCCAGGCAAAGGCGGGCTCTGGAAAGGCTGGCTTTTGGCTACAGGATCAAGGTTTGAGGGATCACACCCTCAAGCGCCCAGGGAAGGGATGGCAAGGATCACCCTCCAGCCAGTGTCCCCCTCCTCCACCATTTTGCAAACTGAGTGAGAGAGGGAAAGCCACACAGCAGCCTGGCAGGGCCGTGGCCTTTGGGACACAGACCCAGCCGAGCAGGCTGCAGGCCCGGGGAAGCGCAGACAGCATGGCATACGGAAGTCAAGAAGTTTGAGGGGTGCAGGGATACAGCATGAAACCGCTGAGTTGGGGCGGAGCCAAAGGAACCCCGAGGAGCGTGAGGGTGGGAGGGCCAGCGACTGAGTTCCGCGTGTGCAAATCCAGAGAGCCATAGGCCGAGGACCTCTGTGGGCCACGTTTTCATTAAAAGTTAAAAAAAGAAGGCACCGCATGCCATGGCGAGGACGCAGCCCCTCTCTCCGGCTCTCGCACCCTCTCTGGTCCCTGCTCCGGGGGTGCCGGGTGACCCCTCGCCCCTGCCGCACCGGCTGGGCCTCAGGCTCTGGCTCTTGAGCAGGCGGGTGTCTCTGGGTGCTTTTAATAATCACTGTATTTATTTCCATGGCAAGTGGTTCTGGTTTTCCATTCGTGAAATTTCCATTTAAAAAACATTTATTTAAGCTGGTGAAAAAAAGCCAGCCAGTTCATGAGTTGATAATTGTTGAAGCTGATTGATGGGCACCTGGGTGGGGGGGGGGTTATTTTCATTACACTCTTCTTTCTGCTTTTGCGTCTGCTTCACATTTTCCATAATAAAATGTTTCCAGAGTCGAGCCAATTAGCACAATGATGAGGTAAGTAAATCACTGTACACGGTGGGTATGTGGACTGGCCTGCCATGGTGACGGGAACGCATGAATCAAGGCAGCTGGGGAAAGGCTGAAGGCAAGAGGGAACAGCAGAGGCCGAGAAGAAAACGGGACACCCCCTTATGCCTCGGGCTTTCCCGGAACCAGGGTCAGGCTGGGGAAGGGGAGCAAGAACCCTCCACTCCCTGGGTCCCCCAGAGAGCAGGGCAGCTCTGGGGTCAGGAGGGGCTGCACCCATCCAGCTGGGAGGGCGGGTTGGAGGAGGTCAGAGGGGAGCCCTTCTCCCCTGGGTCTTGTCTAACACACTCAGGACATGACACCTGCACCCTGCATTAGGGCGTGGAAGAGACCTCAGAAGCGGACCGGCCCCGCCGGCCCCCTCCCATGTTCCAGAAGAGGAAACTGACAGGCCCAGGGGGCTGGTACTGTTCCCCAGGTCCTAGGGCAGGCCTCGGTGCCCCCGCACCTGCACTCTGCCACCTGTGGTCAGGGAAGGAGTCTGGCCAAGTCCCCTCCGCTCCCTCCGACTCTGCTGCCTTCTGGCCGCTGCGCCCGCTGGCAGGGAGAGACACGGGCCTGGGGCCCCCAGGAAGCCCAGCAGCGGGGCCCTGTGCGGATTTGGGATCTGCACTGGGCCTCTGCTTCCTGTCTCCCAGGTTTGCTCTCCTCCTGCAGCCCCTCAAGAGGGGCTGTTCTCCCCAGACCCCCTTGTTAGGCCAGCCCTTGTTAGGTCAGAGAAGTTGGGATGGGGGCGGGCCTTTGGCTTCCTGTTGTTCATCGCCCTGGGGCTCTGGGGGGGATTTCCCTGGCCACCCCCACCCCCCAGGGAAGGGGAAGGATCTTGGGTGAGTCACAGGCCTGGGGCGGGAACCCAAGGGTGAGAAGGGGTGGGAGGAGCCTTGTCCCCAAAGTACCAGAGGTACTGACAGGCAGTTGGGGGACCCTCTCCTGAAACCAACTGTGGCCCTTATCAGACACCCCTCCCACTCCCCACTCCCTGGCTGTTCTGACAGGTGCTTACCTTGGTGCTGGGGCCAGTCGGGGACACGGAGAACGGCGAGGTCTTATTTTGGGGGTTCTGCAAAGAGAAAATCCGGGTGGGGGATGGGACCAGTGAGGTGAAGCAGCCTGACACCTCTGTCCCGTCAGAGCCCGCGTCCCTCTTCTGTCCTCCCCAACCCTCTGCTCGAGCACGGGCTCCTGACCTGATGGTTAGTGTCTGGTCCATTTCTTTCAGTGTCTGCGGGGAGAGAAAAGACACATCAGCCCTGGCCACCCGAGGCCCCCCCACCAAACCCACAGGGTCCCGTTCCTCCTCCCCGTCTGCACCCACCTGTGTGCTCTGACAGGGAGTCCAGACCTTGCTTCTCGGCCTCCAGGGGCTTAGACATTCTTATTTCTGGGAACAGAGCAGGATAGAAATGGGCTGAGGGCAGGGGGAGGCTCCCAGACCTCCTCGGTACCAGCCAGCCCCTCCCCTGCCAACTTGGAAGCATCTGTCTCCAAAGATGTGCCCTCCGTTCTGGGCCCTTCGCCCTCCTCTGGCAGGACAAGAAAGGAGCCCTCGGGTCCGTGGGGTCTTGCCCGTTCCTTTTCAATGCTCCATAAGGGGGGAGGTACGCCCCTCCCTGCACCCCGGGCCCACCACTGTGGGTGCAGACAGTGGTGGTCATGGCCCAGGAGGAGGAGGAGATGTTCCAAGGGACTCTGTCAGCTCAGCCTCCCCCCAGACGCGTCCTGCCTCCCCAGGTTTCGGGTGAGGCGTGTTTTCCACTGTGAGTGGGGCTGGAGGTGTGAAGGGACGGCAGCATCCCCGAAGGAGCAAGTCTTCAGATCTCTGGGGGTGATTCAGCCATGTTCCAGCCCCCTCCCGGCCCACCACTTTCCCAGCCAAACCTCACTCCCACTGGGAGCCCATGCTCTCTGGCTCCCAGCTCCACCTTTCTCGGCCCTTCCCCTGGTCCCTTGCACCTGCTCTGGGGCTCCGGCCTTGAATCCCAGCTATGCACCCAAAGTGCCAAACTTGCCACCCCAAACACAGTCCTGCTCTCTGACTTTGTGGACCCAGGAAGTGAAAGGAGGCAGTGGTGGGGGCAGGGGGCCCTGGCAAGCAGCAGGCTGGCCCAGGGGGTATAAATACCCCGTCCTCACGGCCAGACACCGGCCCTGGGGTGCTAAGTCACACCTAGCAGAGCAAAACGAGACTCAGAGCCAGGCTAGCAGCTGGTGCTAATATCACCCCTATTTTATTGAGGAGGAAACTGAGGCACCCAGAGGGGTCACCTCTCTGAAAGCAGAGCAAGATGGCAGACGCACCTTGACGGGAGCCCTGTCTTCAGGGTCCCCCTTCTCAGGACTGATACCCCCTGATGGGCCCCTGCGGTGACTCCCACCCCCTCATCTCCATCAATCACCCCCACCCAAGTTTATCTGACAACTCAAGCCCAAACCCCTCTTGGCCCTAAACCCCTCACTAATCTGGACTTCTGCCCACTGGTGACCAGCCTTCTTGCCCACCCCGAACCCCATCTCCACCCCGCCCAGATGGCCCACGTCCTTCACTTGACCTTGACTGCCACTGGCCTCAGCCCTCACGTCGGAGCCTTAAGTCTCCCGTCCGACTCACTGTAAAACCCCCACCCAAACCGCGAGCCCCCAGGACACAGGCGCGGCCTGGCGCTGGGCTCTGCCCGGAGATGTTAAAGGCCGCCGAACAGAGCACCAGGGAGTCCTTGCCGGGAGGAAGGTCCACAGGTTTGCAGCTGAGGACGAGGCACCCTGAAATACCAATCAGGTCTTCAAATTCCTGATTAAAAAGCCAGCAGGAGGGAGAGGGAAGCAGGAACACGGGGCTGGGGGTTCAATGGACTGTGGTGGCGGATTAGGGGTGGGTGGGGCCTGAACCTGCACCCCTAAGTCATACACAGTGTTGTAAACCAACATCAGTTCAATTGAAAAAAACTACAGTGAAATACTAAGTAAAGTAAGAAATGAAATGAAACAGAAAAGCCGGTGGGAGTGGGAGTGTGAATCTGTACAAGCAGCACTGAGCAAGGCTGGGGCCGCTGTCCCCCAACACTCAGCAGTCCACACCCCCGCTGTCCACTCGACAGAAAGGGCATCACCCGCCAGGTGAAGTGAGGCCTCCCACCTGGTCAGTGGAGAAAGGAGCCACAAAATGCAGCAAGTTCGGGGCCTCCCTGGGGGCCTCGGGGTGAAGTCTCAGCGCTATCGCCACTGCAGCCTGAGGTCCACCCCTGGCCAGGGAGTGACCACAGGGTGCAGCAGCCCTCTCCTGTCCCCCCACTGCCCCTCTCAGCAGTGCATTTCAGTCGATCTGCCTGTTCTGCTCCCCGCTCTGTCTCTGCTGAGTCTTCTCACACACACCCCCTCCTCCAGCCTGCACCCCAGTTCTTCTACACACACACACACACACATACAAAAAGTAGCAAGTTCATACACTGAAGTACCCATAGCAAGGAAAACGAAAAAATCTCCCCAGATGCAGACACCCCTGCACCTCAGACAAAGTCCACACAGCACGAGTCTAGTTACACAGAGCTCACGGAGAGTGGGGTGTCAGGGCATCCTCTAATCAGATCAGTGGGTACCTCCTGGCTCAGCTGACAGGGCGTGAGGAAGTCTGCAGCGCCCCTTTGGTGACCTGGGTCTCCACAGACCCATCAAGCCATACGATTAATATTCGAGACACTTTATTATACGTGTGCAATGCTCTAACCAAAACAACAACAAAAACATTAAAGCGAAAATAAGAAGCTTGCACGGAGTCCTATCAAGGCGCAGGCAGGTGAGGAGGGGTGCGGTGGGGGGGTCTCTGGTGAATTCCAGGCAGCGGGGACGAGGCAGCGAGTGGCTAGCCAGCTCGGGAGATCCGGGAGGGCAGAGGACGTCCCTGTCCTGATCTGGGGAGTCGAAGACAGGAGTCCCGCTGACCCTGGCTCTCACTGGCCAGACCCCGACCCTGCTCCAGGCCACCACTAGCCCTAACAGGACCTAAATCCTGCCCCTCCCAGCATCTCTGGGACCCGAGGGTGTGCCCACGGCCCCGGGGAGGCTCCTCACACACCCACTCACCGCCAACCCATCTGTGGCTTCCCATTTCTCCAAGAAAAACCCAGGCCCCCCCATCCTGGCTTTCAGGGTGTGGCACTCGTCACCCTCCACTGCCCATCCCTTGCCACCTGCGTACCCCGCTCCTCAAGCACACGGGGCATCTCCCTCTGCTTGGGGTTCTGCTTGACTGGGTCACCACCCTTGCAGGTTCTACACTCCCCACCTAGCTAGCAAATGCCTCTCCCGCCCACGCCCCAGGGCAGCCCCTGACCTCACCTCCAGCCAGAGAATCCGTACTGGGCTCATCTTTGGCCTTTGCAGGCTAAGTGAGGTTCCCCCAATATTCCTTGGTAGAAATCCTAACCCCTAATCCCTCAGCATGTGGCTTTATTGGGAGGGACGGTCTTCAGAGGTCATGGGGAGCCCGCGGGACTCCCCATGTGGGAGATGGCCACTGACCAGCCGAAGCCTCAGAAGAAACCACCCTGCTGACTCCTCGATCCTATCAGATTTCTAGCTTCCAGAATTTGGAGAAAATAAATTCCTATTGCTTAAGCCACAGTGTGTGGTACTTTGTGACGAAGGCCCCAGCACACGGACAGCCTCGTGCGGCCTTGCCTCCCACTGCCCCAGTCCAGAGTCTGCTGCACCAGGACCACCCAAGGTCTGTTCCCCACCAAAGCAGGGGGCAAGCCTGCCGGACTCATCCCTGGGGCCCAGCGTCCTCCAGCCCAGAAGGGGTTACAGATGTTTGACCCACATCCCTCCTGCAGCTCTCTCTTGACTTGTGGCACCTTTCTGCCACTTACCCAATGTTTCTAGAGGCCTTGGTGTGGGCTGGTCCCTCTGCCTGGAGCTCTGGTCCCCACTTCTCCTCAGGACCCAGTACAGGTCCTGTCCTCTAGAAGGATCCCAGAGGCCTCTCTCTGGCCCCCTCCTGGAGCCACTAGGCCCCATTATGTCTCCCCCATCAGACTAGGAACTCCCTCCAGGGCAGGTCTGACTCACTGTGGGATACTCACACTGCCCAGCACAGGAATGTGGGCTGAATGGACACGTGTGGCCCCAAGGCCCTGACCCCTCCTCTAGGCCTTTTGCCTCTGCCCTTGTCCCCCCTGGGGTGGCCTCTGCCATCTCTATTAGCAAGTCCTGCTCCTCTTTCAGGCTGGTGCACACATCACCTCCACCATGAGGTGGTCCCCGACTCCCCAGGTGCTCAGTGTCTCTGTCATTGGGCTCCCCTGTCCCCGACCACCTGGGCAGGGGCCTCCTGCACCAGGCTGTGGGCTCCTGGAGGGTCCTTTGCAGCATGGGCCAGCCCTGTGTCTTGGGAGTGAATGAATCTGTGAAGAAATCCCCAAGCAACTGCAGTTTGTGTTTCCAGGGAACGCTCCCCTCTGCAGGAATAGTGGTTGGAGAAGCAAAAGAACTTTGGATGAGAAATTCCCACCTCTCCGTTTCCCTTATTCTCTCCTAGGTCCGGCATACTCCTTGCTGCCTTTGAGCCTAAAACAGAAAGGCCAGGATCGCCCTTGACCCCAGGGGCTCCTTTGCTCCCCTCCCAGCCAGAGCACCACAGGAAAGGAGAGAAGCGTCTCCTCCAGTCACCCCCACTAAGGAGAGATCGGGGACTCCATTGTCCTGGGGGGCCCAAAACCTTCCTGGGGAGTCCTGGGTACAGGCAACCCCATGACCCTCCCCTGACTCCAGAGAAATGCTGGTGCCCAGTCACACCCCACCTGGGGCTGGGAACAACCTGGGCACTCAGATGTCTGAAAGCCCCCAGGTGATTCCAGTATGTTCCAGCACCCTCAGACGGAGCTCCTGGTAACTTGCTGTGCCTTTCCTCTCTCATCCTGGACAAAGCGTAACTTTTTAGAGGAGTGAGCAGCGAAGAGCCCATAGTCACCTCACCCCAGGGCTACCCGGGTCCCTGGGCCCCACTCCCTTGCCCCACGGCCTTGACCTTGGGACTTGTGGGTCCTCTCTGCCCTCCCCAGCCCTCCCTCAGCCCTCCCTGCCTGGACTTTCACTTCTCCTCTGCATTTCCCCCAGCCGGTTTTAGCAGACTTAGGCCAGCTTCTCGTTAGCACTTACCGAAAATGGGACTAAATATAGAGGGCCCGAGGGCTGCCCCTCACCCCTCCTGGCCCCGCTCGGCCTGTCCCCTGGGCCCCTGCGGGCCCCTGCCTCCACAGCCCGCTTCAATCAATGCCAGAACCCAGGAGCCCCTGTGGGCTGGGCCTGCACTGCCGGGAACCTCTGTGGGCCAGCTGGCCCGTCCCCAGCCTCCCCAGGAGCAACACCTCACGCCCCCAGCCCCACAGCTGGCCCCAGGGCAGCCTCAAGGGAGTCAGGCTTCTGAGCTGTCAGGGGGTGGGGGGAGGAGATCCGGGCAGCAGACACAACAAGAGAGGCGTCTCCACAGCTGTGCTGACAACAGGCAAATGCTGCCAGGCCACACACATGCCCCAGCCCCAGCAGACACCCCAGCGCCAGTGAAGCCCACACAGCACACTCAAGGCCGGTGGGTGCGCAGTGGTCTCGGTGGGATCGTCTGCAGGTAGAGACACAGTCAGGCGCGAGCGGACAAGCCACGCACCCGACACACACGCTTGCACACTGAGTCACACCCAGACATACACACTCAGACCCCAGCTGCGCAGACAGAAGCACGCACACCCACACCCCAGAGTCTCTCACGCCAAGGGACACAAGTGTGCGCACACACACACACGCTAGAGTCACCCACAGGCAGACCCTGGGGTGTGCAGAGTGACAGGCCACTCGGGCTGACACCCACACACTCACACGCAGGTCACGCAGGGACAGTCACGGTGCTCACACACAGAGGTGCGCCGTGGGTGTGCAGGCCAAGTCGCCTCCGCCCGGGCCAAGTCCAGGGCAGACCCCTGAGCTCGGGTCACAGGCACGATCAGGCAGGACCAGTGGCCTGCCCAGGCCACGGGATGCATTAGTTCATGTCCACGCAGGGGGACGCAGGGAGGCCTCCCGGGCAAGAGCGGTTTGTGGGAGGCCCACGGTGAGGGTCTCACCCAGCGCCGGCCATACATGAGGCCCCCGTTCCGCCCGAGACAGGCAGACCGACAGCCGGGTGGAGCAGGCAGCACGCGTCTGCAGGCCTCTGAGCTGTGTCTGCCCTGGGTGTACCCACTCATACACAGCTGCACACATGGTCACCTCGCTGAATCAATACGCACCACCCTGCAAACTGTCTTCCTCCTATCAAGCTCCCTCCTCACGGCCTCTGCCTGGCTCACACCCGCTCATCCTTCACCTCTCAGCCCAGACATCCATCTCCTCCAGGAAGCTGAAATGGGCACATCTGGGCTCCCACAGGCCCCTGTGTCTCCCTCACCCCGGCCCGGGCCCCTCTGCTTTTGTCTCTTCCACTGTGGGGTCAGAGGTCTGTTCCCCCCACTGGAACGGGGACCCTCCGTGGGAGGACAGACCTGAAGTCCCCTTTCTCGATTCTATTTCCAATACTCAGCACAGAGCTCCATGTTGAAGGCAGGGGGGCACGCCTGGCCCACCCCCAAGCAAGACTCACCCTTCCAATGGGCCCAGGCCCGGCCACACCACTGGCAATGCCACTGGCGCACCGGCGCTGGCTGTGACCCCACTGTTAGTCATTTACGCACATCACCCCATTAATTCTCCCATTAGCACCTCGGGGGATGACTACCGTTTGCTGAGAAATACCCATATATCAGGGCCTCCGTATGCACAAACCGCCTTGTTCGGGGCCTCGCACACAAATGTTCACCCGGTATCTGACATTTGGTGAAGGTGTTTGATAAGCACATGCATAGGCAATCAATTTTCAGCCAGTGGTAAGTGCCACGAAGAAAAGGCAAAGCAGGGTGAGGGCATCAGAAAGGGAGGGTTAGCTGCCCGCCCAAATGAGATCAGGGAAGGCCTCCCTGAGGAGGTGACATCGGAGGCGAATGAAGTGAAGACGTGAGCCAAGAGATCAGTCCCAAGCCTGCCCCTACATGTCCCACACAGGCCTGCACACACATGACAGTCACACCGGGAAGACTCAGAAGTCCCCTTGCACAGCAAACCAGCCCTCCACCCCTGGCAGTCTTCACCCAAGTCCCTCCCCAGCTCCTGCAGTCCATCCACTGGCCCCCAGGTAAGGGCCATCAGAACTGGGCAGCAGAGATGGGGAGAAGAGATCCGAAGCCTCCCAGCACCACCTCCGCCCACCCCCCATGCTGATGTGGAAGAAGATGGTAAAGAAGAGCTGCAGTGGGGACCCAGGCTGGGAAGAGGAGGAGCGCTGGAGGGAGAGTGGAAGGGGCAAGGAACAGCTATGGAGGAAGGGCTGGGCTGGCCAGCGAGCACAGGGAGGCCAGCCCGGAGGTGCCGCCTGTCTTCCCCGGTGCCCAGCCCCAGCCCCTTACCTGGAGCCCCCATGCTGGAGTGAACCATGCTGCCCGCCCCGCAGGGCTGGGGGAACAACTGTGTCATCTCCCCGCCCTCTCTGGGGCCAAGCCCTTTCTGCCGGAAGTCACTCAGGGAGGAAACCACAGGGTCCGCCTCCTTCGGAAAGGAAAATACCCTGGCCCATAGGCCCTCCCCAGCAGGCAGTGGACCCCAAATGATGTGTGTGCGAGGTGGGGAAAGGCAGCAGTGGGGGAGGAGAGTAGGCAGGCTGGTAGAGCTGACTCCTACCCTGTGCCTTCAGGGGGTGCCTGGGGCAGCTGCCCAGCTGGCCTGCCACCTTCACCAGGTAGACACCTCTCTAGCGGGGCAGGCAGGTCTGGGAAAAAAGGTGAGCCCATAACAACAAGAACACACTGGCCAGATGTGGGGGGCTCTTTCCAAGGCCAGGCCTTGCACTTCCCACTGGAGGGGATCACTATTTGCTGAGTTTTGAAGACTGAAAGATGGAGGACCAGAGAGACGGGTGCTTGCTCCAAGGGTCCAAAGCCTAAAATGTCCGCAGGAGGAGGCATGAGCTGTGGGTGACCCAAGGGGCAGCGGGCGGGTAAGGGAGGAGAACCCAGACAAGCACCTGCGGGCAGGTGAGTCGTCGAAGGCCACCACTGAGAGGAAGCGGTGCTCGCGGACAGTGGCAGTGCGGGTGACAGGACGGGACCTGGCGGGGAGCAGTGAGAAGCCAGCCTGGACGCAAATGCGCGCGCCAGACGCGGCTCTGGTTGAAGGGGGACCAGGTCCCTCGGCTGCATGTTGGCTCCTTCGCGCTGCGGCGCTCTCGCCCAGCGCTTCCCTTGGCGCCCGCCAGAGGGCGGCAGCTCCCAGCCAATGGGCCGGAGGGCGGGGCCGGGCGCCGTGGAGGGAGCCCCTCCCTCCCTCTCCCTCCCTCCCTCTCCCTCCCTCCCTCCGCTCCCTCCCCCCCACCCCCGCGCGCACACCTGCGAGGGTCACACAAAGGCGCAGGACTCCCCGCGTACAGCCGCGCAGACAAAGGCGCGGCCCAGCCCCCCTGCCCTGTCCCTCCTCCCAGCGCCTCCAAACAGTCGCGTCTGCCCCCGGGCCGCTGGACTCCCTGCGCCCCACGCTGGGGGACCCCAAGGCGCACGCGCACCCACCCCACGGACGCCTGGATTCTTTCTCTCTCACACACACTCGAGTATGTCCACACGTGGGCCCCAGCACTTCACACGTGCGCGCAGGCAGACATGCGGGAGCCCCCTCTCCCTGCACGGGCCCTACTACCAGCCCTCCTGGACACCGTGGTCACTCCTGCACAGACTCGGCTGCACCAGCACGGGGACCCGCGGGCACCAGGGCGCACCTACACGTGCGTGCGCGGCCACACGCACACCCAGGCACACCTACAGGGGCGCCCTCCCCGCCCACCCACAGTCTGCAAGGGGCCCATCGCTGGCAGGCCTGCTCCACCGGAATGGCCAGCGGCCTCCTATCTGCACTGCGCGGGCAGCTCCCAGCCATCGGCACTCCCCCACAGGCCATACAGCCAAGGCGGGGTTTTTGTTTTATTTTTTTTTTCCCCTAGGGCCACCTCCACTGGGGGCCAACTCGGGCCTTTGGGGCGGGTCCATGCCTACCTAGCCCCCCACCCTCCCTCTGCCCAGCTGCAGCTACTCTGGACAGCATCCTGGTGGAGGTGGGTAAAGCAACCTTGTCTTGAAACTGCACTTGGCCCGTCAGCTCTATTTTGGCTTAGCATTTATATTTTGGGGACTTGGAAATAAGGGTCGTAGGACAAGATGGGGGCCAACCCCCCAGTTCCATCAGTGACATAGGCAACACCATCTATGTATCGGGACATGTCCGGCTTTTGGACATGAGCCCCCGTGCTGGCCTCTTACGGAGCAAGGGAGAAGGACCATCCACGCTGAGTGTCCAGCTTAGTGAGGAAGCAGGGGAAAGCCTTCTCTCTGTGCCCTGCTGAAATTGCTCATCCCCTCACCAACCCTGTAGGTCCCCCCTTACTGTCTCAGGCAGACCAGAGCTGCTTCCCTGAGCGGGAGTCAAGGGATCTTGAAGAAGAATAGGCCTGAGCCTCCTGCCTGCCTGCCAGAGAGAGGAGAGGCAGAGTTGAGGCACACCGGGCAGGCAGGGCTGGCAGTCAGGATCTGGGGAGGCCCCGGTGGGGTGGAGGTGGCCTCTCAGGTGAAGAAGCCGCCTCCAGCCATGTTGAGCAAGTTAGATGGGGCAGGTAGCTGGGGAGCGGCGGGGGGCCATTCAGGGTGCGGGGAGCCCGGGAGGGAGGCGGCAGGGCAGGCCAGGCTGGGCTCAGGGCTGAGCGGTAATTAAAGGAGACGTAGGGGGCTCCCCAGGGCCAGCGGGGCTGGTAACTGACACGCGGGCCCCATTGCTCCGCTCATATTTCTCACCGGATCGATACGTTTGACTCCCGACAAGACAATAATCGCTTGTACGCGGCCGGCGAGTCGATCAAATACATTATTAGAGCGAGGTCCCCCGGGGGCCCAGCGGGGGAGTGGTGGTGGGGGGAGCAGCCAGCTCATCGGGGACAGCAGAGAGGGATTCTTCACCCCTGGGGGCCCCCCCAGCTGTGGCCTCTTCCTCTCAGCTGCCCCCTGGGGACCCTCCTGTTGGCTTGGTTCACCAGCTTCTTTCTGGACTCCCACTGTCTCAGGCAACCTTTCCTCTCAGCTCCCCACTATGTCCCCACTCTGCTTGGGAACCCAAAGGGTCTTTCCCCAAAAGTGTGGAATTGACTGTAGGGTGGCAGGGTCCAGGGTCTCAGAGAGGCTCCTCTGGGCCCTCAGCTTGGCAGAAGGGAGAGGGGTCGCAGCCCCACTGAGCCAATGGCTGGGCCTAAGATCCATGGAAACCAGCCTCCCTGCACAGCTTCCCTTCTGCAAATGGCCTCCGCACAGCCCAGACCAGGGCAGCCTCTGGGGGGTTCAGGAAAACTGGCTAAGAAAGCAGGATCAGGGGTGGCAGACAGACACACAGACGAAGGGTGTCCAGCTGGTCCTGCTGCAGGGCCATGTGGTCCTCCGTGGGCCCCAGCTACTCTCAAATCAAACCCAGCCGCCAGCTGCTGTTCCTGGGTCTGCACGCCCATCTCCTCCCCACCCTCCTGGCTGCTGGGCTCAGCCTCTGCTTCCTGCTTACACACCTGCTTCACCCTCAGAAATGCTTCTCCAGGCCCTCGGTCAAGGTCGGGCTGTTGGCACCCCCATTCTGCTTAGGAACTATTCCTTCTGCACCATCGTGGTCATCATCCCGCAGCACTGTCCGTTCTATGCCAGTTGAACTGATTCATCTTTTCCTAATCTTCTCAATTTAAGGATGTAACATGTGTTAGCACCCCTATTTTAGTGATGATTTGGAGCTCAGAGAGGTGAAGTCACTTACCCCACATCACACAGCATGTGAGTGGTGGAATCAGGATTCAAAGTCACAGCTTGCTCTTTCTTCATTCTGCTGTGGGTCCCCTAGTGCTTGCCAATGCTCCCGTCCTCTGCAGGCAGCAGGAAGTCACTCCCTGCTCACCCCGCAGCACCAGGGCCTCCCCACAGCCCACAGCCCAACTCCCACCAGCCTTCCAGCTTGTACCTGATGCTCCGCAATGTACCAGATGCCTTTGGCTTTCTCCATTTCCTCCAATTCAGATATTTCCTTCAAGTCCCTTAGCACTGGACTGGGGCTGGGGACCCAGAGAGGAGCTAAATCTGAAACCTGCCCTCAAGGAGTTCATGATCGTAGGGCACGGCTGGGGTGGCTAAAACAAGACCTTGATATGCCATGAGGATAGGCTGGAGGCGCAATCTGGGGGGGGGGGACGACCAGTTGGGAGGATGGGGCAATGTTCAGACAACTGGTAGGGAGGGACGGTAAGGATGCACTTAGGGGTACAAATTCCAATGAGAGGCTACAGTACTCTAGTGGCCCTGAAAGTGGGCAGCTGGGCAGGGTATCAGGGTGAACACTGAGGCCATCGCTGATGGACTATTGGAGCAGACGGAGGGGAGATGCTTGGGTGTGAGCTGGTGTGGGGGGAAGGTCAGGAAGAGGCATCTCAGAAACACCAGGCCGATGGCCAGAAAGCCAGCAGATGCTGATATACACATTTCTCATGGCATCTCCATGCCAGATTCCCAAACACACTGGAATTCCCAGGCATTCACTTCAAGTAAGAAGAAATCGAGAAGCACTGTGATATATTTCAAAGAAAATAAAAGGCTGGTCAAAGGTCAAATAGGTCCCCCTCTGAATCTGGAGAGCTGGGGTCTGCCCCTTGCACTCTCATTTTCCCCATCTATATGAGGGAGGTGGCCTGGAGGAGTAATCCTGAGACTTGCCCCAGCTCTTACATTCTGTGGTAGGCAAGACGGTCTGATGAATCAGTTGACCAAAACAGAACGAGAAGGAATGCATTTTAGGTTAATTCTAAGGAGCGCCTGATTAAGTATACCTAGCCAGTATACCTGAATCCTCAGCGTTGACAAGGGCTTGGATTATCCCCATTTCAGAGCTGAGGGCCACAGTTACACAGCTACATCAAGGCAGACCAGAGTCTCTCTGGCCCTAATGCCTGTGCCCAAACTACTATGTGGAGCTCCCCGCTCATCTTGCCTTGTTTGTCTCTGACTGTAGCTCTTCAGAGAACAGGGTCCCTGACACCCAGCACCACATTCCCACCATGGCCTCCAAAGTAGCCAAGAAGACAGATGCTTGGCCCTGGGCCTTCCCTTCTGATGCCCCACCCTCTGGCCCCAAAGCCCCACCCACCACGCAGCTCCGCCCACTCTGCAGCCCCGCCCATCGTTCAGCCCCGACCATCGTGCAGCCCCGCCCACCTCCACCCACAGCACACACTGCTCCAGTCTGGAATCTTCATCAGCACTGACTCTGCAAACTCAAGGCCACGGCTCTTCCCTCAGTGCAAGGAGTTAACCAAAGGCTGAAATGCAAAGGCCTTAATCCCTCCAGAAGCACCCCACACACCCCAAATCCTGGCTGCCTTCAGGA